AATAAGTAGACATAGTCAAAAGATTCTAGGATATAGCAGAGACTTCTAATTAAGGTGCCATTGTTACACAATTTAATCTCTTGCATACTCTGATACCCAAATATTCAGATTTTAGAACTGAGGAGACACTGATTTCTTCCAGAAAATAATTACACCCTGATTTGGCAGGATTCTCACCAACAATGATGCATGAACACACAACAGCCAATTCTGTGGAAAAATTTGCTTTTAATTAAGGCAACTAAGGAAGAAAGCCCTTGTTTCCAATTAAAAAGGCAGTCACACAGCATTCAAAAAGGTGCGTTTTACAGAAGGTCTGCACACCCATGCAACCTCCAATGCAGCCTGAGGGCAACAGAACTTATTTAGAAACCAGAAATGTCTTGGTGTTCAACAGAATAGAAACCAAAACTTTGGATTTTCAGTTTTATCTGCCACGTTTTAGAATGCCTTCGGGAATTTAAATAATCAAGCTTGAATTTCAGTGAAAGTGGCACCAGTGGACGCTTGGTTTATAAATGAGTTCTAATAGCAAATGATTTTGTGCAAGGCAATAATCTGTACTTGCACTTCTTCAGTAGAAAGGGAACGCCAGGATACAGAATGAGTCTCCCCTCATGGCCACTGAAGTGCTAGTGAAGTGCATTACTCCATTTTAAACAGACATGGTGAGACAACATACCTAACAAGGGGGTTTGGTGATCTGATGCGAGTAAATTACAGTAAATGCAACTTCAGTACTGACAAGATGTTTAGAAGTTTATTATTGTGGAGAAATTGATGCACCAACAGCAGAAACTGCCCAAGATGCTTGTATGCTCTTTCTACAACATATTTATTTGAACTCAAACAGAAACGAGTAAGTTGTAAAAAGAAACTTCCTCACATTAAAAGTTGCTTTACCAACCACACTGACCAATCAAGTGTTTCTCCCTGTTTACGGGTACTAGGAGACTATAAAGTTTCCCACTGTAAAACGGTTTAAGGCTAAATCAGTAAAAGTCCACTGCCAGCTACACAACCATTTCAAGTTTATATATTATTCCCCAGCAACAATTTTTTTTTTTCCCCTTATGGGTTCTTCAAGCCAGGACAGAAACCACATCCTTAATAACACTCCAATCCTTTTCCAGCTGTTTATGTGTTATGTTTATATGTGCTATTCTTTAGTTCTGCTGATAGGAAACTTAGTTATCTGATATTCATCTCTCTCTTTTATATTAACAGGGTCATCAGCAATACTAGTGGGTGAAAGGTGCCCTTTTCTAAACCTGCTAGAATAAATATGCTTCAAGATAATGTCATTCAGACATGTGGAAAATAAAGCCAGACATGCAATAGCAGAGGTGTTTAATCCTAGAAACACTCACAGCTTATCATGGTGCATGAGACTATAAAGAATCTTTTCACCCAGGATGGACCACTTTATGAAATAAACTGAGAAAGGAAGACTGTTTCATTATTTCTTCTCCACTCAGGTTATGAATATTTTAAGTAACCAAAATAATTTGTTTTATTCCTACCAGTTTGTGGCAGTGGAACAAGTGACATTAAGTGTTACTTCAAAAGTATTATTAGAAAAATATACCTTGTAACCGTACTAAGAATGAGTTTGACTTCATTTGAGGAAGACCCTTAGTCTCCCAAGGTTGAAATTTGAAACACTAGAGAAACAATATACAGACAACAAAAGCAAAAAAGCACAAAAATGTACAAAACGATCACAAAGCATTTTCCCCTGACACGGGAGCTTTCCAGTTACACTGCCCAAGCACTTTCTGAAAGTGCCTTCCATATTGCATTATGTAATAAAATTGTGAAGAACTATTGCTCTGTAATCACAATAATCAAGCTACTTGACAGTAATCATACACAGAAGCACTTTAAGCATGAACTCCAGATCTTGAATCCAGAACACGTAATTCACAAGGTAGTATGCTGCTAATCCTGTTATCCAACAGACAGGATTCTCTTTCTGCAACTTTAATTCTTTAAAATAATACTAGGGGAAAGTAATGATTCCAGGAATTGGGTTCTGGTTATCTGCATTGTGTTTTGAATGCTAACTTGATTATAGTGTTGTTCTTATTGTTTACTGTTTTAAGAGCTGATTCATTCTGCCAATTAGAAAAGCCAGTGTTACTGCAATTTCATGCCTACGCATTACCTGTATATTAAAAAACCCATTGATTCAGCAGCAAAAATGGGGCAGTTCACCATGAAGTGCCCTTTCCTCCATCTGCGATTCCACATCGCTTGCTCTTTCTAAACCCTGCTGTTACTAGAGTTATCAGAAGCACGTGTTACACTGCTGAATAGAGAGATACAATGCTATTATCTTTTCCTAAGCATTCATTTCCTTAGTACAACACAATGTAAGTGATGTCTG